GAGCCAGATGTACCCAGCTAAGCCATGCTCAGATTCCTGACCTATTAAAAATAATGAGATAAAAAATATTTGTTTTCAGCCTCTAAATTTAAGGGTAATGCATTACATGGCAATAGATAACTAATATAGATCTTTAGAAAAATGTTAAGATTGTCTCTTCTGGCACATCCAGAATAGCTGTATGGCCAACAGAGAAACCAATGGGGATGAAGTGTAGAAGGAAAAGTCTGCTGTATCTCTTCCTCACCAAGGACATGCATGTGTGCACATTTACACACATACACACACACACACAATCACATATCCTCACTCACTATGTTCATATAACTGTAGAGGTAACAATAATTCTCCTCTCCACATAATCCAGAGAGTGGACACCTACTCAAAGTTACTTAGAGAATATGGTTGGGCACATAAGCGTGGTCAGGGGACAATGAGTTGAGGAACATCTTGCTCTAAGGGACAAATGAAGAGAGTATATGGTTGTCACTCATGGAAGAGAGAAAAATGGGAAGAAGTGAGGGCAAAAAGGAAGAAAACTATACCTTGTTTAATTATGAGGGCCATGACACTCATGAGCTGAGGTTAAATTCATAGAAGAAATTTCAAGAAACATTTTCTAGAATATTCCATACATCATGTGCATTAAATTGGTACAACAATCTTCTCGGGAACTGTCAGCAAACACATGGATGGTGAAGGATTGCGACCAGACTTAATGTTTTGTTCCTTGAGGTATAGTTCTGCATCAAGAATTCCAATGGAGGGATCCCTGGGTGGTGCAGCAGTTTGGTGCCTGCCTTTGGCCCAGGGCGCAATCCTGGAGACCCGGGATCGAATCCCACGTCGGGCTCCCGGTGCATGGAGCCTGCTTCTCCCTCTGCCTGTGTCTCTGCCTCTCTCTCTCTCTCTCTGTGACTATCATAACTAAATAAAAAAATTAAAAAAAAAAAAGAATTCCAATGGATAGCGGCACCTGGGTGGCTTAGTGATTGAGCATCTGCCTTTGGCTCAGGTTGTGATCCCGGAGTCCTGGGATTGAGTCCTGCATTAGGCTCCCTGCAGGGAGCCTACTTTTCCCTCGGCCTAAGTCTCTGCCTCTCTCTCTATGTCTCTCATGAGTAAATAAATCTTAAAAAAAAAAAAAGAATACCAATGGATAAAACTGACTTTTTGGGGACAGCAAAATTGAACAAGTGGGAAGTACCTTGGGGGAACATTTGGTTTTATTCACTAGAGGAGTAAAGAAGGTGAAACCCAGAGAACTAAAGTTATACACCAACATCCTCACAGCTAATGAGGGGCAGAGCTGGACAAGAGGAGTCCAGATAGTCTGACTTACTTTTCATAGGATCACTAGATCAGGATCACGGATTTGGGAAAAAAAAAAAAAAAAAAGACATTTTTAGCAGCAAAAAAGAACATCAGGAGACCGGTTGTTGAAAATGGAGCAAGCAGCATGATTTTCTAAACTTGAAAGAGAAAAAAATGTAATTGCCAACATCATGAGGGTAGAAATAGTAGATATTAAAACTCAATTTTACTCTTCTATTGATTTCAAGCAAGAGTACAGAAGCAGGATGGTTTTCCCTGAGGATCCTGGCATTCAGGCTATGTGATCACTGGTATAAAGTAGCCTGTAAAGTAAATATTCATTTTGCACAAATTAGAAGAGAACTGATTCTCACTGCAAACTGTTTAAAAAAAAAAAACCAAAGAGGCTAAAATTCAGCATTAGTGCCATTAGCTATAAATATTGGCATTCTGGAAACCATGCAAATGATTGACAGAGCAAAGCCCCAAATTGGAATGTGCTCAGTGATGTGTTTAACATATTCTGTGGCTTTGCTTATTACTTCAAGGAAATGGTCAGCACATTCTAAGCAAATGGCTCATAGAGAAGCACATTCAGAATTAGTTTGGGTTTGGTTGCTATTTGTAAATTGCCTCGATGTTTGCAAATGCTTGTATGCTTATGTGTGTGTTCCTTGAGCACAAGATGGGATCAAAACGACTGGGGACACTCCTGCCAGTCCTCAAATGCAGACAGACGTTGAACTTGAGATCAATACCACAGCCCTCTGTTTTACAGCCCCAAACAGAAAGATTGAACTTTAGCAACAGCATTGCTCAGCGGCCAGATTTCTGAGTCATGGATAAAAATCCATCTTTTTTTTTAATTTTTTTCCTTTTTGTCTTATTTTTGTGCATTATTTGAAGTCAAAAAACTGATCTTCTCCACATGGTTACAGGATCCACAAAAATGGACACAGAAAAATCTCTTGAGGAGCATCCTCATATCAAAAGTCTGCAGGTTACTGAAATAGTGAATAGATCTCAGGTAGCCCGAGTGTCTTTATTATTAGCTTCACGCCACCAGACAAGACACTCTGAGATTATGCATCTCCATGCCTTTGACAGGAGACCATTTAGTCTGACTATAGACTGAATTTCTTCAAAAACTGAGCAAGGGACCAGAGCCAGCTAACTGGAATATTCTGGAAACACATGCTTCCCCCAAAGGGTCAAAAGACATACAAGTGCTAGGAAAATATATCAACCAGGCTACCTCTTCAGGCCCCCAAATGTTTATTTACATTTAGCATCTCACTGTTTTCATAATCAAAGCCCTAACACCCGTGTTGAAATGAGAAGAATTTGCTGGGGAGGATTGTCACAATAAGGCGAATTTTAACAGAAGCATAAGACCTCAAAACTCCTATAAATATGCTGTATAGTGAGGTCAGGACAAAAGTAGAAGGAATGAGGAGAATTTGCCTGGCACGCTCCCTGCAGACAATAATCTCAAGTGGGACAAGTCTAGGGTATATTTCATTCTCTCGTGAAAAACACCGAATTGGGGCTCAGATAAGATTCTAAACAGACTTCATTTGGCAGCTTTTGCAGTAGGCAAAATACTTCCAATTAATTAGGACGGTGAACCGGTGTGTGTACATATACAAAATGCAGATGTGCAGAAGTAAGTACCATCCTGGGCTGGCCCAGAGCCTTATGTGACCTAAAAACCTTCGTAATTTTAGTGGGCTCAAGTCTGGAAAAGTGATTAAGTATCTAAATGCAAGTGTCACTGCTCTGTGCCCCCCCAGGGGATGTTGGGAGAGAAAGGAAGGCTCTTATATCCTAATTAAAAGTCCAAGCTTTTGCCCCATGGAATGCAAAACGCCTTTGGATACAGGAAACTGTTCTTTATCCAGCTACACTCATAAAGCTGTCAATAAGTTGAGAAAGTGGCCTTGATGGTGTGGAAAAAAACACTTCTTTGAAAGCGCTGGCTGCTAATAAAAATCTTTTCTGTTCAATGAAGTCCAACAAATCATCTAGGATCATATAAATAGCAAATTTAACAGCAAATTAGCAAGGCTTATAAAATATATGACCACTTAGGCAGCCAGGAGAGCTAAAAATCAAGGTTGGAGAATTACTAGATTATGGTTTAAAAGATTTTTTTCTTTTTATGCTTTACATTGGAAGACCTTAAAACTGTATTTTGAATGACTAAACTGCCTTTAAAAGGGGATATAATTAAACTAGCTGCTTCTGTGAGGGTCAGGCCTCTCACACTTGATAACCACCAGAAAATGAGTCATGATCTGCTCACCAAGAGGGTTCAGTACAGAAGATTCCAGCCTCGTCATATCTGGCATATCTAATCTTCGGGTTATCTGGTAATGGGTGTTAGACGTGTATAAATATATAGTGACTGCAGTTATAGGAGAAAAAATGATTCTATCATCTCTACAGACCCTAATGCTTGCAGAGAAATAAAGTAGCTTTCCTTTGAGATTCTGATAAAGCTAGGAGTCAGGGTTTGCTTTGCAGAAGTCATTAATATCATCAATATTCAGCCTGTAAATTCACAATTGTCTTCTTTCTCCCAGTATAGGGATTCCTTATCCTGGTTGTGTCCTGGGACAGACATAGGTACTAAACTGGCACATTCCCAATGTTTCATAGAAGGTTACGTGGACTCCTCACTGAACGTAAATTCTCAGAGCTGGTAACTTTGCAGTAAAAAGTCCTTTTCACCAAATTTTGGCTCATGCAATCCCTGCTTGGCTCTGAAACATTTTTAGGAACATTGGAAAGCGGGGGGAAGAAAAGCAGTACTTTGGGAGTTTCCATCTTTACTAAGTATTAGAAGAGTTGACATGTTTAAGATGATTTCTTGCCTGGTAATTTAAAGCTATTGCTGTCCCGAACTTCTGTTTCTCAGGACGCTTTTTCCAGAACATCTGGATAGATGACAGCTGAAAATAAGCATCCCATTTTTTTTTCTTCATTCTCCCCACCTCTTAAGAATTAAGGAAAGAGATAATCAGCAATGCAAAGCAGGGAAGAGACTGTGTGTTCTTCTCAAGCATAGAGACAAAGAAAGTGTATCTTCTGGGTCCTGCAGCCTTGGATTACATCCACCGGAAGTGAGGAGACCACACCAGGGATGGAGATGGATGGGAGATGAGCATGGAGGCTTCAGAGCACCACCGTCCAGCCGAAATACAATGCGACACAAACGTGAGCCATGCAGGCAATCTTAAAATTTCTGGTAGCCACATTATCTTTTTTTTTTTTTTTTTTTGTGACTGAAGTCTCCTTTATTCTATATCATCCTACTAGAATTTTATTTTTATGCCAGAACTACAAAATGCTTAAGATATAGATTACTAAGTAAAAAAAATATTTCAAAACAGAAAATACATCTAATAAAGCGAAAGCCAAAGACCTGGGGAGAATGGAGAGAGCAAGATAAGCCTTAACCAAAAACATCTAAATACCCAGGAAACTAGTCTTGTGAGCCATATTCTCTCAGCTTCTGGTGACCATATTTAATAATAAGCACATCAGCCAAAAAAGGCCAGGAAAAAGTTAAATGGCTTAAAAGATAAGCAAACGTAGACTTCTTTTTATACGGTACAAAGTGCTAATTTCAATAGATCCATTAAAATAATATTTGAGAAACAGTAAAAGTGATGGTCACTCGATGCAAATTAATGTTAGACATAGAGTTTATAGCATTGTATTACTGCTAGTGTTGTATATATATATATAAACGTTCAAATACATAAGTAGCTAGTCCTGAACTTAATAGAAAACCTATAATCTCAAAAAAAAAGAAAAAAAGAAAACCTATAATCTCAAATGCTTATCATCAGAAGCATATTAACAAATACAACTGTTTAAATGTTAACTAGGCGCTGTGGTCCTAAAGTGGGTCACTTCCAAAAAGTCTAATAATTACAGCTTATCATAGTAACTCTATAGTGTATTAGAGTAAACAGAACAGTTCTATACATGAGCTTCACGTAAAGGCAGTAGTCATGAATATGCAGGGATCACTAGACATCTATTTCCAAAGCTTCCATGATGTGTGCGGCAGAAGGACGATCTTTAGGATCTTCGTTAGTGCATACAGAGAAAAGTTCAATTACTTTCTGGTACGTTTCATCCAGTTCTTCCATATTAACAGGTGGCCTCATCCCCAAAGCTGCATAGTATGCTTCATCATCGAAGTCGCTTTCATCAAAAGTTTTATCTTCATCATCATCATCATCTGGAAGATTAATGTGTGGAATAGACAAAGTCATCATTTCCCACAGAGTCAGGCCAAAGGCAAATATGTCTGCCTTGTCAGTAATAATGCCATTCTCTTCCAAAGCTTCCTTGGGTTTCCAAGGCTCGGTGCCAATGTAACAGGCCTCAGGATCAGTCACAGTCATATTTTCATCAAGTGGCAGAGAGACTCCTACATCACAGATTTTAATTGTCTCAAAATCACCTTTAATTACAACATTTGAAGACTTTATGTCTCCATGAAGCAGTTTCTTTTCTTGGTGTAGATACTTTAACCCTCTTGCCATGTTCAAAGCAACTTTTAAAATTATGGCTGCTGGAAAAGGATCTTGGCTGTCTTTATTTCGTTCTTCTATTAAGTCATTTAGAGACTTTTCACCTCCATATTCCATAGCAAGACATAGACTACCATCACTGGCTTCAGTGAAGGCACGATAACCTACAATGTTTGGGTGATGGAGGTTTTTCAAAATCTTAGCTTCATCTATTAATCTCTTTTGATACATACTTTGGTAATGATCATTACATTTAGGGTTAATCTTTTTCACAGCCCAAGGAGAATGAGACAAACCTCTTGGAGATCTTTTCATAAGGTGCACATTTACCCCAGTACCAAAGCCAAGCTTCTGCATAAATGGAGAGGCAGGAATATTTATACATGGAGTTGAACATAATGCAGATTTCTTTTTTTCCGATAATTTGCTTGGTGTCTTGAAATTATTGATTTCTTCCATTGTAATAAACACTCGGAGCCACGCGGGGGAGGAGAGGTCTCGGCCAAGCCGGTCTTGAAATCTGATCCCGAGCGGCGCCCCCACCGCCACCCGCCAACCCCCCACATTATCTTTTTTTAAAGTAAAAAGCTGGTGAAAGTAATTTTAAAACATTATATTTAACACAAATATAGCCAAAGTATTATTATAGTAGCAACGTGTGATCACTTTCTAAAAATCATTAATGAGATCATTTACATTCCTTTTTTGACCAGAGTCTTCAAAATCCAGTGTATATTTTATATTTACAGTGCATCTCCACTGGACTAGCACATTTCAAGTGATGGGTGGCTACATGTGGGTACTGGTTACCAAAGTGGGGAACATGGATTTATAGGACAAATTCAACTACATCAGAGACCAGGGATATGAGACTTCTCCTTAAAAAATCTTAAAAAAAAAAAAAAAGATTTTATTTATTTATTCATGAGAGACACACAGAGAGAAGCAGAGACACAGGCAGAAGGAGAAGCAGGCTCCCGGTGGGGAGCCCCATACTTGATCCAAGGACCCCCCGGAAATCATGCAGATGCTCTACACTGAGACACCCAGGCGCACCTCTGAGATGTTTTCTATAACGGCACTAATCCCTTTCACCCTCATGATGTCATAACCTCTCAAATGTCCCTGCCCCTTATATCACTACGTGGGGGTTAGGATTTCAACAGATGAATTCTGCGCAGGATACAAACATTTACTCCATGAAAAGGGGCCCTCAGAACCATTCTTCATTTTAATAATTCACTAAATGGACTCAATGAACTTCACTGAAAGCTGTTATACTCATGGTTATGCTTAATTATAGGAAAAGGATGCAAATTAAAATCAGCCAAGGGAAGGGACACATAGGGCAGTGTCTGGAAACTTCCAAATGCGGAGCTTCCAATCGTTGCTTCCCTGTGAGGTAATGGATGATGTGAACTCCTCCCAGTCACTGTGGGTGAGAGTATGCAGGGAGGGTCACTGACCAGGGAAGAAGTTCACCCCAGCCTTTGGTATCCTGAGTTTTCATTAGGACTTATACCTATACTGCCTGCATGGCGGACTCCTAGTCTCCAGGGCCTTCCAGGGGTCAGGTTAATGTTCAGCCCCCAGTCCCTCCAGAGGCCAAACTGACCCCACAGGGCCCAAAGGGCTCCAACATCAACCAGAGTGTTATAATGAACAGTGCCAAGGCCTCCAGGAAAACAAAGACAGTTCTATGAGACAGACTCTTCCAAGTGTCTAGAGATCACCTCCCAATGGCTTTGTGGACAAAAGCCAGCCATGGTCTTTGGATAAGGTTAATTCTTCACTAGTCAGAGGGGACAGAAGTTGTCAGAATATGGGAAGATCAGTGTGTATGGGAGGAACTGGAAACAGTAAGGGAGTTTTATTCAGTACTTGAGACATTGCAGTGAATTGAATTGTAATACAAATGGAGGAGCTTTAGAGACCCTTGATCAGGGAGCAGGAAAGTGCCCAAATAAGAGTGTTTCTGAAGATGAGTGCAATTTTGAACTCTGCTTCTCTCTCTCTCTCTCTCTCTCTCCACTCTCTTCCTAGGGAATCATACCCAGTCTCATGTTTTTAAGTAAGGTGGTAGTGTTCTAATTCGTACCTTCAGATTTGAACTCTACCTGGAGCTCCAGACTCAGATGACCTACAGTCTCCCTGATGTTTCCACTGGGATGTCAGATGGGCATTTCAGCATGTCCCAAGAGAACTTGTGATTTTTCTTCCCTGCTCCTAATCCCCTCCCTCGTCTCAGTATGGCACCACAGGTGGTCCAGCTGCTCAAGCAAAGACATCAGCCTATTCCTAATCCCTCTTCCTCTCTCAACCAACATCTAGTCCAGCACCGATAATACCCCAATCCTTATTATATCTTAAGTCGGACCACATCCAGCCACGCCTACTGCCTGTGGCTACCCTGCTACAAGCCAGCTTCATTTCTCATTTAGATTCCTCTGATACAACCTGCTCAGCAGCTGTCCTCTTGCCCTGCACAACCCACTCCCCACGCAGCAGCCCAAGAGATCTCTTTAAAGCCTAAATCATATCATGTGACATCTCTGCTTAAAGCCCTTCAATGGAGCTCTCCAACTCATTTAAAATTATATACAAATTCCCACCATCACCTTCAAAACCCTGCATGGTTCCACTGCTACTAACTTCAAATCACATGGCTCTTTCTCTTATTCTCTACCTTCACCAGCTTTTCTCCTGAACACAACGAGCTCCTTCCCATCTCTGGGCCTCTGCATGCTCTTCTCTCAGAACCTGCCATGGCTGCTATCTTCTTATCATTTCAGTCAGGGCTCAAAAATAAACTCCCCTAAGAGGTCTTCCCTGACCATCCAAATCTGATTGGCAGCCACTTCTAATCACCATCAGAGCACCTTATTTTATTGCTTTAATATTAAGGATCACTCTCTTGACTTGATTTGTATATTTATCTTGTATCTGTTTACTTGGGGTGGGGGCTGTGGTTTTTTTTTAATTTTATTTATTTGAATGAGAGAGGGAGAACAAGTAGTGGGAAGGGCAGATGGTGAGAGAGAAGCAGACTCCCTGCTGAGCAGGGAGCCTTATGTAGGTCTCAATCCCAGGACCCTAAGATCATGATCTGAGCTGAAGGCAGACGCTTAACAAACTGAGCCACCCAGGAGTCCCTATTTGTTTACTCTCTTTCTCTCTTAGAATAATGCAAAACTCAAAAAAGTAAAATTTTGCCCATTTTCCTTGCTTCTCAATTTCCAGTCCTTTCCTCAACGCTGGACCCATAATATGTACCTCATCAGATACCTGTTGAATGAACAGTAATGGGCTTCAGGATTTACTATACACATTCAAAATCGTTAAGAAGAAAAAGTCTGCCTTTTCAAGTTTCCTTTTGTCAAATTCTTTTGTGTGTGTATGTGTGTGTGTGATGCTTCCTCTCCAACAATAAATTATAATAAACTTTATCCTCAACCTTATCCTAACTTTTTCCTTCAAAGAAGCTAAGGTCCTATTTGCTCTTAAATATAAATGACTGATAAAGTTAAGGCTTTTGAAATTGGGATGAAGTGTGAATCCGTGATTTTTAGCTCATGGCATCCCTAAACAACATCAGATGAAGTTCTCAGTACCTCAATTCATCCAATTTTTCTGCTGCAGTATTTTTTCATGTTGAGCCCTCCAGAGTACACAGTCACCTAGTATCTTTTCTCCTGAATAATGCTCACACAAGTAACTTCGCAGACAGGTGCAAATGGAATGTAGTCCATCTCTAGCCATCTAGTGCAATGGTCACATTTCTAGCCAGCTGAGCTGGAGGGCCTGGGGTCTGGAAGACTTCCCCAGTGGCCTTAAAATAGCTACCCACTCCACCTAAGTATACAACAGCCCTGGTTTGGGAAATAAGAAAATAGAAGTACAAAGTATTTCAATATTACATGGGAGGGATTAGTGAGATCCTAACACTTTAGGAAGCAGTGGGAGTCAAAGGGATGAGATATTTTCAACAAATCAATAGCAAAAAGCAACTGCTTAGATATAGAGAGCAACAAAGAGAGTAAAATCTCAAATATGATGCCAAGATACTGAGCCTTGTTGCAAAATGAACAAAAGAAAGCTCTGGTGAGAACAGAATTCTGGTGAGCATGTCAAGTTCAGAGTAGTGGCAGAGTGGCTATCCACAAATGTCAAATAAGCAATTAGCAAACTTGAGGATGGAGTTCTGTGGTAGCTTGAGGCTGGTGATCAGACATTGGTAACCAATGGCCTCACTCGCACCTGCAAAGCCCCTAAGTAATATAAATGAGAAACTCCTAGGTCCTGAAATAGACACAAAAGAAGATACCATAGTTTGTGGTATTGGCACCAAAAAAAAAATCATTACATAAATATGAATCACCACATATTTAAGAACTCAGAACCCAGATATTAGGTTTGGGTGACATAACTTTCTGAGCAGCAGAATCACCAGAGTAACACATAATTTCTGGGTCCTGGTGTGCTTTTCTAGCAGGAGAAATAATAAAACTCTGGGAGTCCCTCATTCAAGTCTCTTCAGATCTGACAACTGAATAGTTGTCAATAGTCACCACTATCCTGGGTGCGTGTGTTCTCGTGAAATTAAGAAGGAAGCAACAGTGGGGACTGACTGAGACACAGCCTTTCTGTATACTGGTTTATTATCATCTTTTATTTTGAGTAAAGCTAATGAGTAGAAATGAAAACAGTCTCTGGTTTTGATTTCTAAGACAGTTAAATTCAGTGTGTGTTCTTCGGGATCCAAGTCCTAAGACACCGAAATTTTTACGTGAAAAGCAATGAGCCATTTTTATAGTAAAAGTAACAAAACATACAACCATCAGAAAAGAGACATAAGCAGTAAATCCATGCCCTCAACTTTCTAGATCTATGAATAGGCTCCTGCTAGCTGTTTGCTAAAATAACTCCATTTCACATTGAACTCTGGCTATTTCTGATCTTTTGCTATTGGGGGCTTCAGAATGAAGCTTTTGGTTGCCTGCACTTTGACTTCTCAGTAACTTTACTGCCTGTTGTAGGATGATGATCGTCATGGGAGAATGCTCCTCTGAAGAGTCCCCATTCTTCTACTGGAGACCAGGGTGGGTGTTCCACTCTCCTCATGGAGAGAGCTCTCTCCCTGAGTCCAAGGGTCAGTTCTCATTGCCTTTGCCACCCATCGGTGGAGCTGGAACCCAGAATTCATATTCCTGCAACTGCCCAGAAATTGCTTCCCAGACTAATCGTTGCTAACAACACACACACCTCCCCTGGCCTCCCTCGGAAAGTGGAAGATCAGGGTCTCAGTGGGCCAACATCCATGTACCTAGGGATAGTTCACTTTCCACACTAGAACTATCCCACTGGACTTTTGCTCTCTGGTCCCTCAGAAAGATTATGAAACCACCCCTTGCCCACGACCAAAGATCAGCCTCATGACTTGTTCCAGAACTAAGCACATTTCAGGGTAACTATGCAGTTTAAACAATGTCCTACACCCAGACATTATCATTTGAATTCCTAGAACCTTGCATATCACTGCATAGAGG